TCAATTCTATTCCATTGATCTGTGTGTCTATCATTGTACCAGTACCATGCTGTCTTAACCACCATGGCAGTGTACTTGGATTTGAAATCAGGGAGTGCGATGCCTCTTACCTTTTTTCTATTTTTAAGGAGTGCCTTGCTTATTTGGAGCTTCTTTCCATTCCAAATGAAACTGGAAATTACTTTTTCCATCTCATTGAAGCATGGGCTAGGTATTTGTATTGGGATTGTGTTGAACGTGTAAATTGCCTTTGGTTGTATGGCCATTTTCACAATATTGAGTCTTCCTATCCATGAACAAGGGATATTCTTCCACTTCTTTAGGTCTCTTTTTGTTTCTTGTAGTAATGTTTTGTCATTTTCTTTGAGTAGATCCTTTGTGCTTCTGGTTAGATTTATTCCCAAGTATTTAATCTTGTGATTAGCTATTGTGAAGGGTATTATTTTCTTTAGCTCCAGCTCTGTATTCTCTTTGTCACTGTAGAGAAATCCAACTGATTTTTGTATGTTGATCTTGTATCCTGCTACTTCGCTGAATTGGTCAACTATGTCCAAAAGTTTTCTTGCTGAGTCTTTAGGGTTTTCTAAGTATACCATCATATCATCTGCATAGAGAGAAAATTTTACTTCCTCTTTGCCAATAGTGTCAGAGACAGTGCGATTGGCACAGGACAGAGCGGAGTTTAGGGCCGTTGTACATGTAGGGTCGCTATGAGTCGCAAGCAACTCGACGGTACATAACAACAACAACAACAACAACAACAACAACTTTGCCAATTTGGATACCTCTTATTTCCTTCTCTTGTCTTATTGCTATCTCTAAGACTTCCAATACAATATTGAATAGGAGAGGTGATAGTGGACATGCTTGCCTAGTTCCTGTTCTTAAAGGGAAGGCCTTTAACCTCTCTCCATTGAGAACAATGTTGGCTCTCAGGTTTTAATAAATACTTTTTACTATTTTGAAGAAATTCCCCTCTAATCTTATTTTGTTGAGTGTTTTAATCAGGAAAGGGTGTTTGTTGTTTTTTCTATGTACTGGCACACCAGAATCCACTCAGAGCTGAACTCTTCAGCGGGTTTTCAGAGGTGGTAAATCATATGAGATGAGGTTGTCCATCTTTTTCCTGAGGAGAAGCTGGTGGATTTGAACCTTGTGCCTTAAGGCTGACATCATGATTCCTTACAGAACTCCTTACCAGGGCCCACTGCTTACCTCACAACTGTCTCTAAATACGTGAATAGTAAACGCGGAGGGGTTAATTGTGTAAATGTTAATAATAAAACTACAAAAATACTAGAAGAAATGCGCCAATATCAGTTGTTCTCAAGTCAACTCCAGCCTATGGTGACCTCACATGAGTTGAAATTCTATTCAATGTCTAGTTTGGTTCAGAAATAGATCACCAGGCCTTTCTTCCAAGGCACTTTGGAGTAAAATTGAACCTTCAACCTTTCGATTGGCAGCACAGCATATTAGCCCTCTGTACCACCCAGGAGGAGTTTTTAAGCTTGATGAAAATGTAAGAAACTGTGAAGGAAAAGGCTGATAAACAAGAATAGGAAAGAGTTAATATCCTATTTAGCCAAAGAGATGCAAGAAGAGATTTCCATTTTTTATTATGGAGACCCTCACAGACACAAGTCAGCACAGAGACTGTGTTCATTTGACAAGCATTTATTGAGGACCTGCTGCCTGCAGGCCGGGGCTGGTTGCTGAGGGCATAGAGAAAGGCACAGTATGGGTCTCCCCACATGGAGCCAGTGACCACATTGGGGTGCAAAGCAAGAAACACAAAAGACAAGTGGAAAGTCTCAGAAAACAAGCTGCATCCCAAGGCTCCCGAGGAACTCCGCCCGGCCCTCAGGCCATCTCCTCACCCATGGGCTTCTTGCAGACCCACGGGAAGCTAGCACTGCAGTGTATGTCATTCCACAGCTTCTGAACGTGCACACAGTCCTCAGTCTGCCCGTCCTTGTCCTTCCAGTTGTCTGGCTGATTTTTATCCCAGAATCTGTCAACCGAAGGGCTTTGTTCAGTTCTCCAAAGGAAGGAACCTTTCCCCCCTCTGGCCCATCTGGAGCTAACGTGATATCAGTCCTCAAAACCTTGTGGGCACAGGATGTGGACAGAGCTGGGGGTCCTGAGGGGAACCCAGCTGAGGTTTCCCTCAGCTACTGAGGACCCGGGGAGGGTAGGTGTGGTCAATGAAACTGAAACTGCGAGCTGAATGAAGGAGAGACTATAAGCTCCCCCTCATAACTCTAACTGAGAATTCACACACAGATCCATTCATTCAATAGACACCTCTATAAACCAGCGGGAAGAAGTGAAAGAAATTCTCTGACCCTTGCCCAGGAAAGAGACACACACACACACACACACACACACACACACACACACACAC